CGGAACTAACTCTGTAGACCAGGCTGGCCTCGGACTCAGAAATCCACCTGCCTCTGTCTTCCAAGTGCTGGGATTAACCACTGCCCGGTTATAAACTTATTTTCATTGCTATTTCCTAACTGTAATTTTGCTGCTGTTCTGAATTATAATGTAAATATCTGATATGCAGGATATCTAATATTTGACCCCTGTGAAAGGATCTTTCAGCCCCCAAAATGGTCACGGTCACAAGTTGAGAACTACTGGTCTAGGGGTTCTCCCTGGGGAAACAGGGAAGTTCTCTGCATGAACTCTGACTCATGACAGTGACTCCTTTGAGGCTGATCTCTTAAGTTTGAGGCCAGGGTGTTCTACGTGGCAAGCTCCAAGTTAACTAGAATTACATAGTGAGACCTTGACTCAAAAATTTAAGATAAAAAAAAAATCCTATGCAGAAACAAAATCTTATATAAAATTCTCTCAATTCATAGTAGTGGGGAACTGAAAAAAAAAAGCATGATTGAATATATAAATATTTAATATATATATTGTTCACTTATGACTCTAATGTGTTGTTTTACCAATGCTTCCCTTTAAGAAGGAAGTGTTCTTAGGAACTTTTTGGAACTGCTTGCAAAATTCTAAGCTCAAGGCTGCTTTTCAGAAACCTCTTCTACACAGAGAAAACACGGGCCAATCCTTCTTAGATCTATAAGGAGAGAATTGGACCAGCTTCCCAGACCATTAATCCTGAAGTGGAATGTCCATCTGATTCAGCAAAACTAGGGGGAGCCATTGTCAACAAAGAACTTTGTAAGGTTTAACAGGAGACAGATTTTTTTTTTTTAATTTTTCAAGGGGTAATTGGCTGTGGCCCTGAGTTTGGATGGGGAGCTAAGACACTGAAATCCCTGGAGGCCCAGCACTAACAAGTCATGCTGCCTCAAATAAGGAAGAAGGCAGGGACTCTTTTTTTTTTTTTTTGGTTTTTCGAGACAGGGTTTCTCTGTGTAGCCCTGGCTGTCCTGGAACTCACTCTGTAGACCAGGCTGGCCTCAAACTCAGAAATCTGCCTGCCTCTGCCTCCAAGTCCTGGGATTAAAGGCGTGCAACACCACCGCCCAGCCAGAGACTGACTCTTGAGGGTGTCCAGGAATGGCATGTGAACTCTAGTGCACTTATTAAAAAGAACAGACAGACAGACAGACACACACACACACACACACGAATAAAACGAATAAAAGTAGAAACAAAATAGATGACTTAGGAAGCCAAGCTGCCCTGCACAGCCATGGGAATGGGGTGATTAGTCTAAAATAAAGTGACACCTGGGACAGAGGCACAGAAACCTTTGAAAGACAAGAAGCTCTTTCAAGCCCAGAGACCGTCACTTATCTAGCACTTGCTTATGCTTCCCTGTGTTACACTACCCTATTCCTGTTCTAATAAAACGGGAGCGATACCTAATAAAAAAAAAAAAAGTACAGCAATGGGTGTAGTTCAGGCCTTGACCTGGTGCTCCTTGTGCCCCAGTCTTTGTAGCGCCAAGACGACAGGCTTGAATCACCACACCCAGCTTATTAATGGCTAACAGGTGGGACTTACTGGATTCTGCAGCTGTATATCCTTCAGAGCAGACCAGAAGTTCACCCTGTGGTGACTCTAGTAACAATCCAAACTGTCATTTCCTCAGATTTCAAGGGGCACAGGCCACCGTGAAAACACAGACCAGATTTGGGGACACTGTGGTGAGCAGTTATCTTCCAAGTTTCCCCTAAAAATTGAGCACTTCAGGAAAACCTTTTACTCTCTGATTAAACGATGGGGGAACAGACAATGGGGGTGTCTTTTTGTTTTGTTCCTTGTCAGTTAATTTGCTTTAGCAAATTGAAAGTCTAGGTGTCAAAAATTTATCATTATCTACATGAAAAAATGAATCATTATGGGCTGGAGAGACGGCTCACTGACTGCTCTTCCAGAGATCCCGAGTTCAATTCCCAGCAAGCGCATGGCGGCTCATACATAAGCATCTGTAATGAGTTCCAAAGCCCTCTTCTGGCCTGCAGGTGAACATGCAGATAGTGTACTCATATACATAAAATAAAGAGTTAAAATAATCAATCAAATTTATAGCACAATTATGGGTTCTGTCTGAACCTGGAGCTTGCCAACTTGCCTCTGCTGGTTGTAAGTAAGCCTCAGGAGTCCTCTTGTCTTCCCTCCACAGGGCTGAGATTACAAGCACATGGCCCCCCCCCATCCCCCAAAGGATGCTGAGACTCTGAATTCAGGTCTTCATGCCTGCATAGCAATTACTTTACCCACTCTGCCCTGTCTCTGACCCTTGTTTTTTGTTTTTAATAGTTTAACCACTGTCCCCTCTGGAGTTTTATCTGGGGCAGCATTTGAACCAGAGAACTTGGCCTTACTGTCATTAACTACAATGAAAGATGGGGTAAGAAGTGGAGTCAGTCTTTATACTAAGCTGCTTTGAAAACACCCCTGCAGTTCATGAATAAAATATGGAGTGGGAGCCAAAGGAGATAGACATTTAAGTCTCACCTTAGCCATACTACATTTTCAAGCCTCATAGTACAACTCATAGGATGTGCTCAGGTTAAAAAATGAGACCATAGGCCTCCACACATCACAGAGAGGGGCAGTGGGTCCTGCACTTCCATCTTCAGTATTGCACAGCTCCTGACAGACTGCTTTAACAAATACCTGACAAAATGCTTGTCAGATCTTATCCCACTCCCAGATTCGCAGCACCAGAGGTCACTGACCTAATGGGGAAAATTCCAGACCTCCATTAAATACAGACACTAAATTACACGTGTCAGGAGGGGGAGGGGACAAGATCTCACTAGTGAGCTGCTCTTGTCATCTCCACCCTTTCTCAGACTAAAGAAGTCCCTGTTCATCACACTCTACCCCTTACACTTGAGAACAGATAAATGCATACTTTACCAAAATGTAAACAGGAGTTTGTACTACAGAAACGAATGGTTCAGCAGTTAAAGACCTTGATGCTCTTCCTGAGGACCTATGCTGGGTGCTCATAAACTCCTGTAACTCCAGTTCCAGAAGATCTGACACCCTCTTCTGGCTCTTCTGGGCACATACATCCATGCAACACACACTCAAACACGCACACGAATGCACATAAATCTTAAAACAAAACCAGCTAGCCTTCGGAAGGACACCGAGCAGGAAGTCTAAATTCTTGCTGCCCCCACTCCCAGTCCCAGTTCTTAGGAATGGACTCAGTTGGCAGATTGTTGCAGGAAGTGCTGGCCTGGCCGAGGAAGGCAGATTTTCTGATAGTTTCTGCTTCAAGGCCTAAACCAGAGAACAGAGGCCAAAAGGGAAAGTGTTCAAAAGATAAAAGATCAGAGAAACTAGCAGACCACCTGTGTACAACAGAAAGCAGAGCAAAAGCAAGTTCTGCAGTGTTTGCCAGAGCAGAAATTAACATACACGATTCCCACACTACACTGTATCCTTTTATAGCAAGATTCCAGGATTCTCAGGATTCCAGAACTCCCTATGGGGCTGGAATATTACCGAAGTCATCAAAGCATAGCTGCAGGCAGGTTTGCCTTTAGATTAACCGCCCTGGGAGCCTCCCTCCCATTCTGGGCTCTGGAAAAGCCTTTGTTTCAGGAATTCTTCCCCTCCGGCAAGGCTTTACTTTCACTTCAAATTTTGCCAAATCAAATTTCAAAAGAGCCCCCAGGCTCTTCAATAAAAAAAGACTACAGGAAAATAAACAGGTTCTGCCCCTTCCCTGCAAACTCTCTGGCCCCAGGATAGGATCAAGTAACTGGCTTTCCCCTCTTGAATGGGGTTTTCTTTCTCTCTTTAAACTACCACAGTAGGGAACTACTGTGCACCTATCTTTTCAAATGCCTTGCCAATACTTCCCCATTCAGCCCTTCTCTGGGAGGATCTAGCGGTTAAGAGTCTAACAAACGCTATATAATAGTAAAGTGTCTGAGCAATTTAATTCAAAAAACAAAACAAACAAAAAACAAACAACAACAAAAAAAAAAAAACCGTGGCTGAGCGATCCATAGTGGGACCAACTGAGGGGAGTGCGGATGAGTGAAACGAAGAGGTGCACACCCAAGTTTAAATACTGGAAAGCCAGTATCAGTCCTCTCTGGAGAAAAGGCAGGAAAGGGGGTGACTTGGGCCAAGCTCAAGTCTTAGTTCAACTTTCTGATTCACTGAAGTACCTGCCAGATGCAAAATCAAAACTGTCTTATTCTGAGAAAGGCTTTGTAGAGAGAATTTAAAGTTCCGTTCAATGGATTCTCAATAAAAGTTCTTAAAACTCCCGTCACGGGTACTTTCATTCCTCAGCTTCTTCAGTGTGAGACATTAAAGAGATTAATCCTTTCTCTGGGATGTTTACAACCTACTCGGAGAATGTTAACAGCCCCATTCAATTGACCTTTTAAAGTGACCTTCCGCGTTTGTAGAGATTTTTTTTTTTTAAAGAAAAGAAAAACATTCTGGAATCCTAAATTCAACTTCTTTGTGTCCCAGGAATGAAATGCAGGCAGCCCCCATCCGAAAGGCTAACTTCAGCTCCTTCGGCAACAACAAACAGTTGGCTTCAGTGGCCAAGGATTGCTCGCCCCGCGCCCACTCCCGGGTACGCCATGAGATGCATTCAGGGTGTCTGGAGACCGAGAACCGCGCGGTCTCCGGGGAAACGTGGATACCACCTGCAGCGCGGGCCCCGCCCCAGCGCCCGGGTCCCACGCCGCAGACCCTTCCGCGGCCACGGCGGGGAAGAATGACACGCGCAGCTGTGGGCGACCGAGCCGGCACGCTGCCGCCAGCTGCCTCTTTTAGCTCGACATCCGACCCTGCTCCCCGCCGCCCTCCCGCCGCCGTCTGCAGCCCGGCCGCACCCCTCCCCCACCGCGGCGCCCCGAGACCCGCGCGCCCCGCATCGCCCCGCACCGCGCCCCGGGCGGGGACCGCGAGCGCACGGCCGGCTGGCTCACCTCCCTCCTCCGGCCCGCTGTCCAGCTCGGCGTCCGAGGACTCGGGCCCATCCTCGTAGCCCGCCAGCCCCACCAGCTCATCCTCCTCCTCGTCGTCGCCGCCGTCCTCGCCCTGCGGCTGCGGCTTGCCCAGCACCTGGCTCATCACGCCCACGCTTGCCTCCGAGGTCCCGCGTGGGCCGAGTGGCCCGCAGCGCCCCGGGGCCGCGCCTGGTGAGCAAGGGGGTGGCAGCAGAGCCCTGCCCCCTCCTCGCCGCTGCTGCCGGAGGAGCCAGCCGGAGCCCGGCAGTTCTCCCCGGGAGCGCGAGGGAGTGACTGCGTGACCCGAGTCACCTGACGCTTGTCACACACACACACACACACACACACACACACACACACACACACACACGCAGCACCGCCGGGCGCGCGCTCGCCGGCCGCAGCCACCGCTTGCTTGGCGAAGCTCCCGCCCGGGCCACACACGTTCTCCCCCTAGAGTGCGGGTGTCCAGACGCGCCGGCCACCGCCCTCCGGGACTTCTGCTCGCTGTCTCTGCAAGGGTGACCCGGAGGCTGCCCCTTGCCGAGGACCAGCCGGACCCTGCAGCCTGCCTTCGGTCTCGTGCAGCCGGCTTCAAGCTTTCTACCCCACCCCACCCCCGCCCAGTGGGCTGCCCCTCAACTGTGCGGTACTCAGGCCCCACCCCCAGCCTGCCAGGGAGTCCCGGAGCTCGGAGAAATGCACAGTGGTGGGGTAGTTTCCATAGCAGCTGCCTCCTAAAAGTGCCTTTTAGTTCAAAGGACTTCCCACCAAGAATACTCCAAACTCTGCTCTACATAGACATGTTTCCGGAGAAATCACATGCTTCGTGACTTATATATAAACATGCTATACTAAATGATTCCTTTGCAACCTTCGGGAAAGCCTGAGGTGTACAATGCCCCGGGGGCTTTTTATGCCCAACTTCTATTGTCTCACTGGTGTAGTCCCACGTGTTTTAGGCCTTCTGTGGGAGGTGAGGGGCAGTGCTCAGATTGGAATAGAAGCCATGTGGGATGAGGAGGTGCTTTCCTCCTTTGCCAGCTTCTCACCACAGGACACAGTGTAACCACCCTTTTCGAGGGTGGGGGGAGGAAGAGGGAGAGAAGGAGGGGGGAGAGTCACGTGCATGAGCTTCGCTCAGTTAAACTGCGGGCCAGCAAGGTGATCCGGATCCTGCAGGTGCCAGTAGCTCAGCAGGTGGTGATGTGGAAGAGAAAGGCTCAGCCTGGACACTCGCGGCCAGGGGCAGGGCTTCCTAGGGGGTCCCCGGGAAAATCTGGGTAGGAATAGGGTTACTCATCCATGACTCATGTCCTGGATTTCTTCTAACTGGGTGGCTGCTTTCAACAGGAAAGGCCCTAGCTTCTCTAAGGAGAGGCAGTAGAACTCGGTCTGCACGGTCAAGGTCGTTCGTATGTCACATACAAAGATGTGAACTGAAAATGTCTTTTGAGCGAAGAAACATTTTTGCAGAGGTATAAGCAGAATATGGGGAGTGGAGACAAAGATTATCAGGTGGGAAGCTCACACCACCTCCAAATTTAGTGGGAGGAAAGGAAGGGAGCCAGGTCTGAAGGGCAGCCAAGAAACAGGCCTTATTCCATTCAGACAGGTAGCAGCCGGTGCTGAAGCCACGCCCACGCCACACCCCCACACCCCCACCCTCTGGCCAAGCAGATAACAGAGTACCCTGGCTGCTTTCCTACTTCCTATCTCAGTACGGACTCCTGGAAATGCCTGCCATTGGTCCAACACAACCAGAAACCCGTGCGCAAAGGAAGACTGAAACCAAGTGGAAGCCAAAGGGTGAACAGAGAAAGAGGACTCTAGACACTCTCTCTACAGGAAGCGACCCTTTCTGAACCTCATGAGAACACGTTTACCGCAGAGTTAATAGAAATATTAAATGAGCAAAGACTCTCGGGTGCACGCAGAACTCATTTCTCATCGGCGATTTTCCTTTCTATAGAGAAGAGAGTGGGCTCTGTGGCTCAGTTGGTAGAGTATTTGTCTCTCCAGCACCGGGTCAAACCCCGTGTGCTGGCCCCAGCAACTTAATGAGATTGAGGCCAGCTTGAAATCCTTGAATCTCTGCAGGAAGCTGCCTGGGGAGGAAGGGATATTTCCCCAGAGTAGTTGTAAGGACTTGCAGCTGTCCCAAAGCTAGCTTGCTAGTCTGTGGGGACAGACTAAACTGGCCTATTTCAAGCATCAGAGAGATCCTTAGGACACCAGGAGAGGGCTACCTAGCAACAGCTCAAATTCAGACCTGACTACTGAGCAGGAACTGGTGAACCCAGGGTCTCCAGGGAGGACAATTCACATTCCAACAGCCTCACACAGAGAAAAGATGAAAATGTGTGGTGATTTTCTAACTTCCTTAAGGAGAGAGCAACTATGTATGCATGCATGCATGTACGTATGTATGTAAGTATGTATTTGGATGTGTGTGATTGTTTTTGCCTACATGTATGTGTGTGTACCACCTGAATGCAGTTCCCACGTAGACCAGAAGAAAGTGTCGAATCCTCTGGAACTGGAGTCATGGATGATTCTAACACCATGGAACTGCTGGAAACTGAGCTTAGGTCCTGTGAAAGAGCAGTCAGTGCTCTCAACCACCGAGGAGCCATCTCTCCAGCACCAAGAAAAGAGCCTTTATGGGGAACACCAGCAACAGATCAAAACACCCTGATTTTTCTGAGAATTGGGTCATTCTTGAGAATAAAAAGGACCAACTACCATGTCATCTGCTAGGGAGACAGACAGATCTCACAGCAATCTGGGGAGCACCTCTAATCTTTTAGGGACTTTGGCTTAGGCCAAACCACGGTCATGGCTTTAAAGCAGAAAAGAATTCCAGGACTAGCAGATAGGAAGGAGAGCTAGGGATTGCTTTTTGTGACATTTTGGAAGGACCAGGAGCAGAGTCTCACCTACATAGCCCTAACTTGCTATCTAGACCAGGCTGTCCTCAAACTAGAGATCAGAGATCCACCAGGACTAAACATGTGCACCACAACAACCAACCTTTAGATACAGAGTTTCTTTTTTGTAACAGGGCCCTCAGACCATAACACTGACTCCCTGATGGAAGTACCATTCAGGCTGTAGACCTCAGCATGTAGACAGCACCACCTGCCAAGACAAAAAGACCTAATCCATCAAACTTGCACTTGTTAGGTCTCAAACCCCTGGACAAACAGCTAACCAAGGTGCTTATTAACATATCAAAGCATGTCCTGGCTGCCAGGTTCTTCCTGCAATCCGGGGCCCCTACCTGTTGCAGGGTATCACTGTCATGCCCTGCCCCCTACCCTAACTTCTCTAGCCCAGGATCTGGGCTGTGCTGCCCTTCCCCCAGTGACTCTTTCCTATACAATCCAGTCATTTTGTTTATGCTGGCTGTTTTATCTTTTACCTTTCACCTTCCTGACCTCTTGGTCTCCTGACTTTTCCCTGCCCCTCCTACATGGCCTGGCTCAGGATCACGGTTGCTCTGGACTCTCCCAGAAGTCCCTGCCTCTGTCTATGCTCTTCCTTTCATCTACAATAAGCCTTCTCCTTCACCATACCTAGGATCAGTCATGTCCTTTCTTTTTTATTTCTTCTTTTCACCCAACACTAACCTTACTTTCCGGCTTCTGTAGTTCTGCTTCTGGCTAATTGTTCTTGTTAACTGAAATATGTCAACCCAGGACATGGTTTTTATGCTTAAAAGCTCCTCCTAAAAAAGGCTCAGAGCTATACTGGGATTCTGAATACCCAATGTAGTCACTAGCCAGCTAATAAAGACTTTTTTTTTTTTTTTTGGTTTGGTTTTTCGAGACAGGGTTCTCTGTGCAGCACTGGCTGTCCTAGAACTTACTCTGTAGACCAGGCTAGCCTCGAACTCTTGCACTCAGAAATCCGCCTGCCTCTGCCTCCCAAGTGCTGGGATTAAAGGCGTGCACCACCACTGCCCAGCTTTGTTTTGTTTTTTTGAAACAAGGTCTTACTGTGTAGTCCTGGCTGGCCTGGAACTCTCTATGTAGAACAAGCTGGTCTGCCTCTGTCTCTGAAGTGCTGGAATTAAAGACATGCCTGAATACCAAACCCAGCCTGAATACCAATTTTAAGCATAAAGTTTAAGAGAAAACGAGACTGTGTCTAGTAGCTCATACTTTTAGTCTCAGCACTTGGGAGGCAGAGGCAGGTGAATCTCTGTGAGTTCAAGGCCAGTCTGATATACATAGTGAGTTCCAGGACATCCAGAGCTACATAGTAAGACTCTGTTTCAACAGAACAAAACAAACAACAAACAACATAACAAAAACCAGGAACAGAGAGAATGAAAGATAGCCAGAATGAAAGACATATTTGACAGCACGAACAAGGGTGTTTCTCAGAGAACATCATTCTTCATTGCCTGTAGAATAAGCAAAATGTAAAATTTAATGAGATTTAAAGCTGTTATTTTGAAATGGTTGCTGAGGAACCTAAATGGTTTCTGAGGGGCACTGACTAGGACTTCGATTGGTAAGATCTCAGAGATCCCAGAAGGAAGGGTATCATTACATAAAGAAAATTGACCAAGCCAGCTCACTCAGTCAACAGGGCTTGAGGGAAGGAGGGAATGAGGATTAAAGAGAGAGGGAAAGAAAAAAGACAATTAGACAACATTGTAACATGACTCCAGCCAGTGCTGAGGTGGGTTTATTTTTCTCCAGTCTGCTTTAAACCATTCTAGGTACATGCAAAGAATAGGGTCAGTTCTAGGTCAAAGACAAAGTAGTCAAGGAACAAACAAGGCAGCCAGGCAATGGTGGCGCCCAACTTTAATCCCAGCACTTGGGAGGCAGAGGCAGGCAGATTTCTGAGTTCGAGGTCGGCCTGGTCTACAGAGTGAGTTCCAGGACAGCCAGGGATACACAGAGAAACCCTGTCTTGAAAAACCAAAACAAACAAACAAACAAAAAACCAAAACAAAAAAACAACAACAACAAAAAACAAGGCATAAACAGAGTATTTAAGGAACAAACAAAGCATAAACAAAGGTCCCATGATTATTGTATTCAAGGACTTAAGAAGATCAAGATACAAAGAATACCGAGTTCCTCAGCTGTATTGATCATTCGCCTA